GGGGGTGGTACCAGAAGGAATGGTCCGATCTCTACCATCTTTATAAAAGATATTGTGTTGATAAAAAATATTGAGATGTGCCAAGTCCGAATGGAATCGGATGTTCATTTCGCGTTTTATGAGTTTCATGGGTACTCAAAATGTTGACCCTTTGTGGGGGAATTACCAGAAGGAGTGGAGGGACATTGCCCATCTCCAAGCTCGATCTAAGTTTGACAATAATATGAAGATGTACGAAGTTTGAATGAAATCGAATTCACCCCTCGAGAGTTATCGTGCGCATCAGCCAACCAGGCAGACGGACGCATGGACATCCCTAGATCGACTCCAAATGTTTTGAAACGGATTTTATGGCTTTACTGTGGAGGGGTATTAAGAGTATTTCGATACTTTTACGGAATTTTTGAACTGAATGCTTCCACTATCGTGGAGTTTCCGAATACAATCTAATGTTTCAATCAGTGAGATTTTTAAAAAAGTGTTGGTTCAGTAATTGATTTTTTGGAAAATTATTTTATGCTCTGCTCGTTGGTGTTTCAAGATTATGTTTATGCCACAATCGTACGGTGGAGGGGTATGTTTTGATCATGGTGACTTTCAACATTTGCGAGTATTATTCAATGCCTAAATCATGGAACTTTTTAATTTAAATTTCAAGGGGTGGATATTCAGAGATTATTAAGAAGTATTTTTTTTTTTAATTTTTAACACAATTTTTGAAAATTGAATTTTGACACAAACATCGAGGTTTTTTAGTAAATATTTTTTGCATTTTTTGGAAAGGTTTTCGAAATAAAGACCGTCCCGATTATGAAGTGTTAGAGGAATAGTTGATAAATTTTTTAACAAAAAAAAATGTTTTTTGGTCCACAAGGTTTAAAAAAATAGTTTGATAAAATCTATATCTATAAAAGAGGAAAATGTTTGTACGTTTGTTTGTTTGTTTGTTTGTTTGTTTGTTTGTAATTTATGGACTCGAAAACTGCTGAATAGATTTTTCTGAAAATTTCCATATATACTGCAACATCGCCTGAAAGTAACATAGGCTATATACATTTTTGAATTTCCACTTGGAACTGGAGATATAGCATCAGAATCGGAGGTACCTCCCAAAAATTTAGATTTTATATGCACATATCTATTGATCGGTTAAAGATACAGTCTCCAAATTTGGAATGTGTAACGGAATTTGGAACAAAAATAAGTTTGCTAAATTATATTGTAATCGGTTCAGATTTGGATATAGCTCCCATATATATTTTCGACCGATTTCGTTCATTTGATGCCTCAAACACAATATGAATGTTCGATTCCAATGAAATTTGGAATATGTGACGGGATTTGATCCGAAAATAAATTTGTCAAATTATATTGAAATCGGTTCAGATTTGGATATAGCTCCCATATATATTTTCGGCCGATTTCAAGCATTTGATGCACCAAACACGCTATGTATCCCCAATTTCAATGAAATTTGAAACGTGTGATAGATTTTATCTAAAAAAATTTATTTCCCAAATTATATTGAATTCGGTTCAGATTTGGATATAGCTCCCATATACATTTTCGGCCGATTTCATGTATTTGGTGGACCAAACAAGATATGTATGTCCAAATTTAATGAAATTTAAAATAAGTAACGGAATCGGGAGCAAAAATGAATTTTTCAAATTATATTGAAATCGGTTCAGATTTGGATATAGCTCCCATATATATTTTCGACCGATTTCATGTATTTGATGCACCAAACACGCTATGTATCTCTAATTTCAATGAAATTTGAAATGTGTAGCGGAAATTAAAACAAATATACATTTGTCAAATTATATTAAAATCGGTTCAGATTTGGATATAGCTCTCATATATATTTTCGACCGATTTCATGTATTTTATGCACCATACACGATATGTATGTTCGATTTCCAAGAATTTTGGAATATGTAACGGGATTTTGATTAGAAAATAAGTTAGTCAAATTATATTAAAATCGGTTCAGATTTGGATATAGCTCCCATATATATTATCCGCCGATTTCACATATTTGATGCACATTTGACAAATTATATTCAAATACGCTCAGATGTGATTATAGCTCCATATATATACTCAGCCGATTTCACATATTTGATGCACCCAAAGCGAGAGAGACAAAATCTGGCACCAGCAAAAATTGCACAATTATATTGAAATCAGTTGAGGTTTGGATATAGCTAACATATATATTTCGGCCGATTTCATACATATTATGCACCAAACACGATATATATGACCGATTCCAATGAAATTCAGAATGTGTGGCGGAATTTTGTTATAATAATAAATGTGATAAATTAATTGGAAATTAGTTAAGATTTGGATATAGCTCCCATATATATATTCTCGGCCGATTTCACATATTTGAGCACCAATTTCAATAAAATATGAAAGGTGTGGCGGAGTTTGGTGTAAAAGTAATTTTTTTTAAATTATATTTAAATCGGATGAGATTGGGATATGATTTTAATAAGAACCATTGACCCACAACGCCTTAGGCTAACACTAAAAAACAACACACAATTTATTTGAAATACGCTTATTACGGCGAAGTATGTTGCTATCTCGCATTCACTAATTGCAATAGAAATGCCACTCAACTTCAAAAGATTGCAGTTTACTGCACGCTTGGTATTTGCTATGAAATAAATAAATCCGAAGGACAAACCCTTCGTGTATGTATGCCATGTTACTGCTTTTCTAATGGTTTTTGGTTATTTACGCATTAAAGTAGTGCAATATTTTTTTTAATTTTTAAATTTGTTTTTCTTTATCCAACATATATTCGTAAATAAAATTTTGAATGCATATAAAATCAAAAGGGGTGGCGAAGCGCACCGGGTTCAGCTAGTTAAATATAAAATCAGTTCCTTATAAACAAAAGTTGTTTTTATAAAAACGACAATAATAGGATTAAGCCTGATCATTTTGCAACAACAAAATAATATGGTATCCTGAACAAACAAGCCAACACTCTTCGGTAAAATTAAACTCCCTCCCGTTGAGATTTTGAAACTTATTTTTCCCTATTCGATGATATTTTCAAGAACATTTTCAAGAAATAATTCTGAAGGTTTTGAAAATATGTCAAGGTACCAATCATGGGTGATTTGAGTTATTTCGAGATTTTTTTTGTTTTTTGTGTTTTGAAATAGTTGAAGCCTCAACCGGTAAAAAGAGGACTTTTGAATGAAAAGTTTCTTTTTATCAGGAATATGTCTAGAAGTCCTCATAAAATTTTTAGTGGAGGTAGGGCTAGGGCCAGAAAAGAGGCCAAAATAATTAAGGAATGAAATGGGCAAAAACTTAATTTTAAGCCCAATTTGATATCGAGACATAGCAACTTATTTGGCCTTGGTCATTTTCGAACAGAGAAATGTTAAAAACGACCTTAAAACAGGAACTCACTTCACTCATTGTGACGCCTTAAGAACCAAAGCTGATATTTAAAATGGTATTTTTAATAGAGCAATTATATATCCCATTATCTTGAGGTCTTCGTTCATTCCAATCCAAAGGGTTTCAAATCTAAAGAAATTTTATTTATAGTATCCCATCGTCGGTCCCACCAGCCTTTAGCCGTTTTAGAAAATTTTAATATATGCAGTCGTGATGTCATTTAAAATTTCTTTGTTATCCATCTTCACAATTTAGAATTCTGAAACCATGGGTTTTGGTTCTCGAAAGCGGTATTTTTGGGCGGAAGTCTTCGGGCGTGACCTTTATCAGAAATAGTCGGAAATTCCGTCTAAATCCGTGAAAATTCCGTGTCATTGATGTTATACGTTAAAATTTTTAATCAGATCAGATTTTAAGAGACCTCTTCTTGATTAGTAGATAATATTGGCCTTACTACTGATGCTTATTTTTTTAAGGGATATTATTATCGGATATTTTCTAAATATTTAAAAATATTTTTTTTATTTTTCTAACCAAACTCTATGTGTTCTCTCTATTTTAAACAGGGTGTGGTCAAATCGTGTAAACGATTTTTTGTAAATTAACAATTAAAGCAACACTAACATTGATTAACAACAACAACATTTACAATAACAAACAACAATAATAACAACCATTGCAAACAGTTATGTTCGAAAGTAATGCAATGGAATACGGTTATAAGGAAATACCGAATTGGTTGTAATATCCTGTAGATTTTTTTTCGGAAGTCTAGGATGTTGATTATAAGAAGCAAAGAAGCAACAACAAAAAAATATATTTCAAAACTTCCCTATAACCGTGTTCCATTGCGAATTACTTTTGCATATTCTATAATTTAGCTTACAAACACATACACTTACACATGGATAAATACACACACACACATACATGTGAGTACGTATGAACTACATATTGGAGTTTCTTTTTTTTGTTTTTTTGTGGGTTAGGAGGACTACATTGGAAACTAAGGACACCACAAAAAAGACATTTCTATGGATTCTATGGGGGGACTGTATTTTTGTTTCAGAGTTGTGTTAACGGAGTTTCCTACTACGGAGGGGAGAGCATTTATTCATTTCAAATGGGAAACGAAAATACTCACACACACGCATACGAGAATGATTTGTATCTTCTCCGCTATGCCATGAGAGAGTGGAGACTGTGTGTGTGAGTTTAAGTTTGAGTTTGAGTTTTTTTAATGACATGGTGTTAGTGGTGGTTATGACATGGTACATGAAGTACAAAAGTATAACTATATCTCTAGATATGAATTAATGGTAGGTTAAGGTGGTTAAAAAATAGTTATAGTAGTAGTAGTAGTAGCTGTAGTTGTGGTGGTGATGATGGTTGGTTGGTTGGTTGTGGTGACCATGATATATTTGAGTTCTTTTTTTACTATTTTTTTTCAAAAAGGGAGTTTTTTCTGTTTAATTTTTTTTTGGTGGGGTGGAGGGGACTGCGTATACTGCCCCCCTATTGGTAGGGGTGGCCAGCATCGCCCAAACAAACAAAGTTAACCTACTCACCCAGTAGTTCCCACTCGCCGTTGAGCACGTAACTGCTGATATCACCGCCAGTTTCATCTTGTAATTGTAAATCCAGCTGTCGAAACGGACACAGTTGAGATGAGTTGGTCAAAAAATAAATTCAATTTTTTTTGTATTTTTTTTTTGTTTGTTTTTGGTTTTTTAGTAAATCAAAGAAGAAAGGTATACAAAAATGCAAAGTGAAAACAAAATTAAAATAAATTAATTACGAAAATACAAAACAAATAAAATCAAAATATATTTCGGAGTAAATGCAATTCAGCTCCAGCTAAAGCACCTAGATTCAAAACGTCGGAATGCTGGAGATTTTGCAACAACATATTCTTTACCTGAAATTGAAAAAAATATTTTTTTAAAAAATCCACGTTTGTTGGTCCTTGAGAAAGTATTAAAAAAATACTGACTTACAAGTCCTTGAAAAAATATATTTTTTTAAATCCACGCTTATAAATCTTTGAGAAAAATATTTTTTTTTTAATTCCACGCCTATAATTCTTTGAGAAAAATATAAATTTTTTTTAAATCCACGCCTATAAATCTTTGAGAAAAATATAATTTTTTTTTTTAAATCCACGCTTATAAATCTTTGAGAAAAATATTTTTTTTTAATTCCACGCCTATAATTCTTTGAGAAAAATATAAATTTTTTTAAATCCACGCCTATAAATCTTTGAGAAAATTATAACTTTTTTTTTAAATCCACGCTTATAAATCTTTGAGAAAAATATATTTTTTTATATCCACGCCTATAAATCTTTGAGAAAAATATATTTTTTTTTAAATCCACGCCTCTAAATCTTTGAGAAAAATATTTTTTTAAATCCACGCTTATAAATCTTTGAGAAAAATATAATTTTTTAAATCTTTGAGAAAAATATATTTTTTTAATCCACGCTTATAAATCTTTGAGAAACATTTTTTTTAAAGCCACGCATATAAATCTTTGAGAAAAAAATATATTTTTTTAAATCTTTGAGAAAAATATATTTTTTTTACATCCACGCCTATAAATCTTTGAAAAAAATGTTTTTTTTTTCTTTAAATCCACGCTTATAAATCTTTGAGAAAAATATATTTTTTTTAAATCCACGCTTATAAATCTTTGAGAAAAATATTGTTTTTATAAAAATCCATGCTTATAAGTCTTTGAGAAAAAATATATTTTTTTAAATATCCATGCTTATAACACTTTTAAAAAACATTTTTTAAAACATGAAAAATTAATTTTTTCTATGAAAAATAAGCTGTTTCTTAATCTCCAAAAAATCGATTCAAAGGATTTCTTAATATTTCCAGGACTTGGTGAATTTTTTTATAAGTGTGGATTTCTTAAAAAATATTTTTTTCCAGAACTTCTTGAGTTATAAGCGTAGATGTTTAAAAATAATTATTCAAGAATTCGAGAGTTATAAACGTGGATTTTTTTAAAAAATATTTTTTCAAGGATTCCAGAGTTATAAGCGTAGATTTTTTAAAAAAGAATATGTTTTCAAGGATTCCAGATTTATATGCGTGGATTACTTTAAAAAAAATATTTTTTCGACGTCTTATAAGCGTTGATTTTTTAAAAAATATTTTTTCAAGGATTCCAGAGATATAGGCGTGGATTTTTTTAAATATTTTTTCAAGGAATTAAAAGCGTGGTTTTCTTTTAAATATTTTTCAAGGAATTAAAAACGTGGGTTTTTTTTTAAATATTTTTTCAAAGAATTAAAAGCGTGGGTTTTAAAAAAAAAAATTAAGGAATTAAAGGCGTGGGTTTTTTTAAGGAATTAAAAGCCTGAGTTTTTTTAAATATTTTTCAAGGATTCCAGAGATTAGCGTGGATTTCTTTTAAAAAAATATTTTTTTAAGGATTCCAGAGTTATAAGCGTGAATTTCTTTAAAAAAAATATTTTTTTCAAGGATTCCAGAGTTATAAGCGTGGATTTCTTTAACAAAATATTTTTTTTCAAAGATTCCTGATTTATAAGCGTTAATTTCTTTAACAATATTTTTGCCAGGAATTATAAGCGTGAATTTCTTTAAAGAAATATTTTATTCAAGGAATTATAAGCGTGGTTTTCTTTAAAAAAATATTTTATTCAAGGAACTATAAGCGTCGATTTCTTTAAAAAAATATTTTATTCAGGGAACTATAAGCGTGGATTTCTTTAAAAAAAATATTTTATTCAAGGAACTATAAGCGTGGATTTCTCTAAAATTATTTTCAAGGAATTCAAAACGTGTATTTTTTAAAAAATATTTTTTCAAGGAATTCAAAGCTTCGATTTTTTAAAAAAATATGTTTTTTGAGGAATTATGATCTCAAATTTTTAAAAATATATTTTTTCAATAAATTCTAAACTATGGTTTTTAAAAAATATTTTTTTCAATAAATTATAGGCGTGGATTAAAAAAAATATTTTTCAAGGAATTATAAGCGTAGGTTTTTTTATAATATTTGTTTCAGGATTTCTCGAATTAAAAGCGTGGATTTTTTTTTATAAAATATTTTTTTGAAGATTTCTCGAATTAGAAGCGTGTTTTTTTTATAAAATATTTTTTCCAGGAATTCTTGAGTTATAAGCACTGATTTTTTAAAAACTATTTCTTCAAGGAATTCAAAACGCGGATTTAAAAAAAAAAAAACTATTTTTTCGGGACTTCTTGGTTATCAGCGTGAATTTTTTAAAAAGGATTTTTTTTTAGGAATTTTAATCTCGGATTTAAAAAAAAAATTTCAATGAATTCTAAGCTATGGTTTTTAAAAAATATTTTTTTCAATAAATCATAGGCGTAGATTTTCTAAAAAAAAAATATTTTTTAAAGGAATGATAGAGAGAGACAGACAATTGTCTGTGCAGGTCCAGTTGGTCTTTTTAAACATTTTTTGTTTCAAGGACTTATTAAGGAAGATTTTTAATAAATATTTTTTCAATAACTTATAAGGAGTTCTAAGCGCGGATTTTTTAAAAAATATCAAGGAACTCTAAGCGCATATTTTTTAAAAATTGTTTTTCAAAGAATTCAAAGAATTTTGAAAAAAATGAGGAATTAAAAGGGCGGGTTTAAAAAAATTTCAAGGAATTCAAAGCGCGAATTTTTAAGGAATATTATTAACAGAGTTATACCCCCAGCCTTGATTATTTAAATTTATGACCCTTTATCCAAAGAAGATGGCAGTTGGAATCATATATGGAAGAGGTATCAGAAAAAATGGTCCAATCTGTACCATTTTTAAAACAGATACCTACGGCGTTTATGGAAATATAGAGATGTACCAATGCCAAAATATAGAGATGGTCCAATCTGTACCATCTTTACAACAGATACGGCGTTTATGGAAATATAGAGATGTACCAAATCTGAATGAAATCGGTTGTTAATTTTTCGTTGTATGAGCTTCATATATATTCAAAATTTTCACGCTTGTGGGGAAGGTACCAGAAGGAGTGGACCGATATATCCCATTTTCACACCAGACCTTGGGTTAACAAAAATATTGTAATGTGTGTATTTTGAAGAGAACAGGATGCTTCTTTCGGATTGACCGTTGACCGTTTTGATTATTTAAAACTGGTACCTCCCTTTGTGGGGGAGGTACTAGAATTAATTGTCCGGTCTCTACAATCGTTATAACAGATCTTCTGTTCATGGAAATAGTGAGATGATGTCTGAATGGAATAGACTGTTAATGTTGTCATGAGCTCCATAAATATTTGAAATTTTGACCCATTGTGGAGGAGGTACCAGAAGGAGTGGACCCTCATATTCCATCTTCACACCAGACGTTGGGTTAATAAAAATAATGTAATTTGCGTAATTTGAAGACAATCGGATATTTACATTACATTTTATAAGAGTTAGAATTATTCAAAATTATTTTCGTTGACATTATGCGGGGAAGGTACCACAAGGAGTGATCCGATATTGCCCATCTCCGATCTCCAAATGTCCTGAAACAGATTGGGTTCAAAGAGACCTAGGGTCTATAACCGTTATTTCGATGAGGCACGTTTTGGCCGTATCAAATGATATATACCCTCTGTATCCATATGGCTGAGGGTATAAAAATTCAAGTACATATAGGTGTGGATGATTTTGAAAAAAAAATTTGCAAGAACTTATAACGGTGGAGTTTGAAAAAAATATTTTTTTTCAAAGATTTTTAAGAAAGGAGGAGTAAAATAACTAAAAACACGCCTAAAAAAGCTTAAAAATATTTTTTACGGATTTAGAAAATGTTTAATAAATATTTGTTTAAATACTTCCGAAGTTATAAGGGCGGATTTATAAAAAATGTTTTTGCAAGGAATTATAAAAGTGGATTTTTCCAAAAAAAAAAAAAAATCCAAGGACTTTTAATCCCGATTTTTTTAAAAGCAATTTTCAATGACTTATAATCAAGAGTTATTAAAAAATATATATTTTTTCAAGGAAAATATATATATTTTTTTAAACTTCACGCATAAAAGTCCTTGAACAAAATATTTTTTTAAAAAAACAGGATTATAAGTCCTTTGATTTTTTTTTTAAATCCATGCTTATAAGTTTTATTTTATTTTATTATTTATTTGTTTATTTTGAAAAATCCACTCTTATAATTTTTTGCAAAAACATTTTTTTTTAAATCCGCCCTATAACTATGGAAGTCTTTAAACAAATATTTATAAAATAAATCCACGCTAATAATGATTGAAAAAATATATATTTTTTTTAACTCGCGCCTCTAAGTCTGGAGGTCCTGAAAAAATTATTATAAAAAATAAAGTCCTTGAAAAAAAAATTATTATAAAAAGAAAAAGATAAACTTATAAAACTAGAAATTCTTGAAAAAATATTTTTCAAAAAAACCCACGCTTATAAGTCAAAGACATTTTTGTACATCCTTTTTTTAATTCCTTTAAAGCTTGAAGTCCTTGAAAACATTTTATTATAAAACAAACAACCTTATAAATCTGGAAATCCTTGGAAAAAATATATTTAAAAAAAAATACACACTTATAAGTCATTTAAAAATATTTTTTACAAAATCAATTAATTGCGGACTTTAAAAAATATATTTTGAAAATTAAAAATCGTATCCCCCATTAAAAAAAGACCTTAAGCAGTTTATACCGAAATTGTATGTTACTTTCAGGCGTCAAATAGAAAAATGGCAAGAAAAGGGATATTTTTTTAGCCTTGATGCAAATATTTTTTGATCTGCTGCAGAAATAGAAATTTCTTTCCTTTGCTGACTTTTAAATTTGATGAAGAATATTTTCGTCTTTGACTTCATCCTTCTAAAATAATGCTCTGTTGGAGATTTTAGCACAAACTCACAAAAGAATGCGACTTTAACCCTAAAATGGCATTTTAATAAATTTCAATTCCTGGCGTTTAGGTAAGATTTTGACACTTGACGTGTTCTAGCACCTATAGTAGAATTTTTTGACAACTAATTATGTAGAATATTTTGACTTGCTACAATCCTGTTTAAAATGAGTTTTTAAAAGGGACCAAAACGACCTTAAGCAATCCGAAGAAGCTGGAGCTGAACTGCGTATGTGGCAAAAAAAATAAAATCTTACAAAAAAATAGAAAATACCACAAAAAACAAAGAACTCAATAACGGAAAATCAAAAGAAAAAAGTACTACTGTACTCCCTGTAGAGTTACATATCCCAGTTATTAATTCATTTTCTTTATTTTTTCTTTTTTGCTTCTCATTCATCTTTTTCTGGGATATCGTTTCTGTTTCGGAACGTCTCTTTTTCAATGTTTTTTTCTTTTGTTTTTGTGTTTTGTTTTGCCAAACCTGAAATCCATCATATGTCCAACTGCCAAATTTCATTTCACATCGTTGATCATCGAACGGAAACCATGTTATGTCGATTTTGCATGTCGACTTAAATATGCCCGGTGGTACATAGAGACACGAGCCGTTGTTCCGTACCACAACATTCGTTTGATATGTCCCATCGAAACCCTCATCGGCGCTGTTGTACATCAGCACATCCGGCTTCCATATCCGATGTGGCGGTATGCGTAAATCTTTGATGCCGCCATAGTCTGATGTGTTCCAACGTAAGTTCATGTCGTTCCATTCCTGGGCGTGAGAAAGAGAGAGAGGGGAAAAGAGATGGAAAACATTAATAGGAATTCTTTTGAGATAATCGTATAAGAGATAAATTAATTAAGAGCAATGAAATATTGTACAGATGTGCGGCAGATATTGTTGGGAATGAATTTAAGGGGAGGCAGATAAACGAATGTGAGCTGGGAAAAATTAAGTTAATTTTTATAATTTAAAATTCAGCAAGGACATGAAGGCTTTAAGTCCTTGGAATATTCTTTTGAGTCCTTTGAATATTTTTAAAAAATTCTTTAAAAAATCCGCGTTTAGAGTCCTTGGAATATTCTTTTGAGTCCTTTGAATATTTTTAAAAAATTCTTTAAAAAATCCGCGTTTAGAGTCCTTGGAATATTCTTTTGAGTCCTTTGAATATTTTTAAAAAATTCTTTAAAAAATCCGCGTTTAGAGTCCTTGGAATATTCTTTTGAGTCCTTTGAATATTTTTAAAAAATTCTTTAAAAAATCCACGTTTAGAGTCCTTGGAATATTCTTTTGAGTCCTTTGAATATTTTTAAAAAATTCTTTAAAAAATCCACGTTTAGAGTCCTTGGAATATTCTTTAAAAAATCCACGTTTAGAGTCCTTGGAATATTCTTTAAAAAATCCACGTTTAGAGTCCTTGGAATATTCTTTAAAAAATCCACGTTTAGAGTCCTTGGAATATTCTTTAAAAAATCCACGTTTAGAGTCCTTGGAATATTCTTTAAAAAATCCACGTTTAGAGTCCTTGGAATATTCTTTAAAAAATCCACGTTTAGAGTCCTTGGAATATTCTTTAAAAAATCCACGTTTAGAGTCCTTGGAATATTCTTTAAAAAATCCACGTTTAGAGTCCTTGGAATATTCTTTAAAAAATCCACGTTTAGAGTCCTTGGAATATTCTTTAAAAAATCCACGTTTAGAGTCCTTGGAATATTCTTTAAAAAATCCACGTTTAGAGTCCTTGGAATATTCTTTAAAAAATCCACGTTTAGAGTCCTTGGAATATTCTTTAAAAAATCCACGTTTAGAGTCCTTGGAATATTCTTTAAAAAATCCACGTTTAGAGTCCTTGGAATATTCTTTAAAAAATCCACGTTTAGAGTCCTTGGAATATTCTTTAAAAAATCCACGTTTAGAGTCCTTGGAATATTCTTTAAAAAATCCACGTTTAGAGTCCTTGGAATATTCTTTAAAAAATCCACGTTTAGAGTCCTTGGAATATTCTTTAAAAAATCCACGTTTAGAGTCCTTGGAATATTCTTTAAAAAATCCACGTTTAGAGTCCTTGGAATATTCTTTAAAAAATCCACGTTAGAGTCCTTGGAATATTCTTTAAAAAATCCACGTTTAGAGTCCTTGGAATATTCTTTAAAAAATCCACGTTTAGAGTCCTTGGAATATTCTTTAAAAAATCCACGTTTAGAGTCCTTGGAATATTCTTTAAAAAATCCACGTTTAGAGTCCTTGGAATATTCTTTAAAAAATCCACGTTTAGAGTCCTTGGAATATTCTTTAAAAATCCACGTTTAGAGTCCTTGGAATATTCTTTAAAAAATCCACGTTTAGAGTCCTTGGAATATTCTTTAAAAAATCCACGTTTAGAGTCCTTGGAATATTCTTTAAAAATCCACGTTTAGAGTCCTTGGAATATTCTTTAAGAAATCCACGTTTAGAGTCCTTGGAATATTCTTTAAAAAATCCACGTTAGAGTCCTTGGAATATTCTTTAAAAAATCCACGTTTAGAGTCCTTGGAATATTCTTTAAAAAATCCACGTTTAGAGTCCTTGGAATATTCTTTAAAAAATCCACGTTTAGAGTCCTTGGAATATTCTTTAAAAAATCCACGTTTAGAGTCCTTGGAATATTCTTTAAAAAATCCACGTTTAGAGTCCTTGGAATATTCTTTAAAAAATCCACGTTTAGAGTCCTTGGAATATTCTTTAAAAAATCCACGTTTAGAGTCCTTGGAATATTCTTTAAAAAATCCACGTTTAGAGTCCTTGGAATATTCTTTAAAAAATCCACGTTTAGAGTCCTTGGAATATTCTTTAAAAAATCCACGTTTAGAGTCCTTGGAATATTCTTTAAAAAATCCACGTTTAGAGTCCTTGGAATATTCTTTAAAAAATCCACGTTTAGAGTCCTTGGAATATTCTTTAAAAAATCCACGTTTAGAGTCCTTGGAATATTCTTTAAAAAATCCACGTTTAGAGTCCTTGGAATATTCTTTAAAAAATCCACGTTTAGAGTCCTTGGAATATTCTTTAAAAAATCCACGTTTAGAGTCCTTGGAATATTCTTTAAAAAATCCACGTTTAGAGTCCTTGGAATATTCTTTAAAAATCCACGTTTAGAGTCCTTGGAATATTCTTTAAAAAATCCACGTTTAGAGTCCTTGGAATATTCTTTAAAAAATCCACGTTTAGAGTCCTTGGAATATTCTTTAAAAAATCCACGTTTAGAGTCCTTGGAATATTCTTTAAAAAATCCACGTTTAGAGTCCTTGGAATATTCTTTAAAAAATCCACGTTTAGAGTCCTTGGAATATTCTTTAAAAAATCCACGTTTAGAGTCCTTGGAATATTCTTTAAAAAATCCACGTTTAGAGTCCTTGGAATATTCTTTAAAAAATCCACGTTTAGAGTCCTTGGAATATTCTTTAAAAAATCCACGTTTAGAGTCCTTGGAATATTCTTTAAAAAATCCACGTTTAGAGTCCTTGGAATATTCTTTAAAAAATCCACGTTTAGAGTCCTTGGAATATTCTTTAAAAAATCCACGTTTAGAGTCCTTGGAATATTCTTTAAAAAATCCACGTTTAGAGTCCTTGGAATATTCTTTAAAAAATCCACGTTTAGAGTCCTTGGAATATTCTTTAAAAAATCCACGTTTAGAGTCCTTGGAATATTCTTTAAAAAATCCACGTTTAGAGTCCTTGGAATATTCTTTAAAAAATCCACGTTTAGAGTCCTTGGAATATTCTTTAAAAAATCCACGTTTAGAGTCCTTGGAATATTCTTTAAAAAATCCACGTTTAGAGTCCTTGGAATATACTTTAAAAAATCCACGTTTAGAGTCCTTGGAATATTCTTTAAAAAATCCACGTTTAGAGTCCTTGGAATATTCTTTAAAAAATCCACGTTTAGAGTCCTTGGAATATTCTTTAAAAAATCCACGTTTAGAGTCCTTGGAATATTCTTTAAAAAATCCACGTTTAGAGTCCTTGGAATATTCTTTAAAAAATCCACGTTTAGAGTCCTTGGAATATTCTTTAAAAAATCCACGTTTAGAGTCCATGGAATATTCTTTAAAAAATCCACGTTTAGAGTCCTTGGAATATTCTTTAAAAAATCCACGTTTAGAGTCCTTGGAATATTCTTTAAAAAATCCACGTTTAGAGTCCTTGGAATATTCTTTAAAAAATCCACGTTTAGAGTCCTTGGAATATTCTTTAAAAAATCCACGTTTAGAGTCCTTGGAATATTCTTTAAAAAATCCACGTTTAGAGTCCTTGGAATATTCTTTAAAAAATCCACGTTTAGAGTCCTTGGAATATTCTTTAAAAAATCCACGTTTAGAGTCCTTGGAATATTCTTTAAAAAATCCACGTTAGAGTCCTTGGAATATTCTTTAAAAAATCCACGTTTAGAGTCCTTGGAATATTCTTTAAAAAATCCACGTTTAGAGTCCTTGGAATATTCTTTAAAAAATCCACGTTTAGAGTCCTTGGAATATTCTTTAAAAAATCCACGTTTAGAGTCCTTGGAATATTCTTTAAAAAATCCACGTTTAGAGTCCTTGGAATATTCTTTAAAAAATCCACGTTTAGAGTCCTTGGAATATTCTTTAAAAAATCCACGTTTAGAGTCCTTGGAATATTCTTTAAAAAATCCACGTTTAGAGTCCTTGGAATATTCTTTAAAAAATCCACGTTTAGAGTCCTTGGAATATTCTTTAAAAAATCCACGTTTAGAGTCCTTGGAATATTCTTTAAAAAATCCACGTTTAGAGTCCTTGGAATATTCTTTAAAAAATCCACGTTTAGAGTCCTTGGAATATTCTTTAAAAAATCCACGTTTAGAGTCCTTTGAATATTTTTAAAAACTTCTTTAAAAAATCCCCGTTTTGAGTTCTTTGAATATTTTTGAAAAATTCTTTAAAAAAACACGTTTAGAGTCCTTTGAATATTTTTAAAAAATTCTTTAAAAATCCACGTTTAGAGTCCTTTGAATATTTTTAAAAAATTCTTTAAAAACTCCACGTTTAGAGTCCTTTGAATATTTTTAAAAAATTCTTTAAAAAATCCACGTTTAGAGTCCTTTGAATATTTTTGAAAAATTCTTTAAAAAAACACGTTTAGAGTCCTTTGAATATTTTTAAAAAATTCTTTAAAAAATCCACGTTTAGAGTCCTTTGAATATTTTTAAAAAATTCTTTAAAAACTCCACGTTTAGAGTCCTTTGAATATTTTTAAAAAATTCTTTAAAAAATCCACGTTTAGAGTCCTTTGAATATTTTTAAAAAATTCTTTAAAAAATCCACGTTTAGAGTCCTTGAATATTTTTAAAAAATTCTTTAAAAACTCCACGTTTAGAGTCCTTTGAATATTTTTAAAAAATTCTTTAAAAAATCCACGTTTAGAGTCCTTTGAATATTTTTAAAAAATTCTTTAAAAAATCCACGTTTAGAGTCCTTGGAATATTTTTAATAAAATTCTTTAAAAAAATCCACGTTTAGAGTCCTTTGAATATTTTTAAAAAATTCTTTAAAAAATCCACGTTTAGAGTCCTTGGAATATTTTTAATAAAATTCTTTAAAAAAATCCACGTTTAGAGTCCTTGGAATATTTTTAAAAAATTCTTTAAAAAATCCCTTATTTAAACAGAAATTTTTCCTTTAGGTTATTCATATCAGTTTCCCCATTTCCATCCCATGGCATCATCCTCCACAATGTCTGTCACATTATTTTCACATCAGGCGCGGGAACACG